CCCAACCTTCGGCTGATCATTTTCCAAGATGGCGGCCTCCGGCATGACATTGCACTAGGAGCACGGCGAGTCTTCTTCAATCGGCAACTTACATCTCACACACGCATTATTTAGATTCAAAGGAAGCTGTGAGTAAACTTGGTTTCTGGCCTGCTGTTGATGAAAGAAGATACTATGCCACCCCCAACCAGAGGTAGGAAAGTGAGTCGTAGCAATGACCGTGCAGCAGCAGACGAAGAGCAACCGGCACCCTGTGGCAAGTGTAGTGTGCACTGCACAATCAATGACAAAGCACTACACTGCAGACTTTGTGATCGCTGGTTCCACACAAAATGCCAAGATGTGAATGATGCAATGTATAAGGTCATAGTAGAAGACAGCAAATCTGCAAACCCCCTGTTGCACTGGTACTGCAAGTGCAAGCCAACATGCACAAAGCTGGCAACTAACTTCGCTGACAGTCTGTTGAAGATACAGTCAGAGGTTGGCCGATTGGGACTAGAGATGGTCGAAGTAAAGAACAGAGTAGGCAGTATTGAGGATGGCCATTTCACCCCTGTCATGGAGGAGAAAGTATAAAGTTTGACATCAGGAACAGAGGCTGCAGCAGCTGCAGTTGAGATGGATGAGATTGTGAAACTTGTCGAGGACAAAACCAAGGAGAAGAGCTTGGAAGCTGAAGATAGGGCACGCAGAAGCATCACGAATTTGATTGTTTTTGGTATACCTGAACCCACAGAAGGTGATGAACAAAAAAGGAAGAGGGACGACATCAAGGAGTCTGAGAGGATACTGGCTGAAGTGGGCAGCACCCAGAAGCCGCGTGAAATAAGGCGCCTTGGAAACTTCAGAGAAGGGGCTGAGAGACCTAGACCTCTACGCCTATCTTTCGCCACCCAGTCAGAAAGGGATGATGTTATGCAAGCCATTCGCAAGATAAAAAATGAGGCTCGCAGGGGAGGTGATCACCGGAATGATAGGTTATGCATGCATAGTGGCAAAGCAGAGAGTTTTTTAGACTCTCCCTCAAAGGCTCAAATTAATTTTTGAGTCCTATAAGTAGACCAGTAAAGTATCCTAGATACCATCATTATCATACTTAAGAAATTGGTTTAAATCTTGAGTAAATGAGGAAATTAAAAATGGACTGATTCTAAAAAAGCTCTGGTCTGCCACTATGTATGCATGAAGATAAGTGCTAGGAAAGACTTGACCCCTATGGAGAGGAAAGAGGAAGAAGCACTGTTCAAGGAAATGAAAGAGAAACAAGAACAATCAAGAGCGGCAGCCGGCAGGGGATGACATCGCCAAGTGGGTGAGAAAAAACGGCAAGGTGGTCAACGTGGGCAAATACCCACCACAACACTAAGAGCAAGCTAAGCCAACAAAACTTCACCTGCACAAAGTTTTAACCATACAAGCACTTTTTCTTCATCTACTAGCACAAATAAAACTGTAAATGCGTTTGACGTTTTCAAAATATTGGACTCAGTCGTGTGTCTATACACAAACGCAGACAGCTTGATGAACAAGCGCAATGAACTAGATGCCCTCATAGTCTAGACATTCACCGACCATCTGTGGTTGGAATAGTTGAGGTGAAACCAAAGAACCAGCGTTTCAACGTTCAAGAGTGTGAGATTGCCCTTCCAGGATTTGAAAGTTTTCACAATTTGGAAAGCAAAGGAAGAGAAATCTGCCTGCACATCAAAAGTGAGCTTAACCCCTCATGCAAAAACGTGAAAATTGACTTTGAGGAGTGCATGTTTGTCGACTGTAAACTCAGCAATAGTGAAACCTGGACCATAGGCCTTGTTTACCACAGCCCCAGTAGCTCAGAAGACAACAACCAGAACCTGAACCAACTACTGAGTACTGAGAACGGTGACAGAGGCTAAACCCCAGCACCTGCTTGTACTAGGTGACTTCAATTTTCCAGAAATAGACTGGGAAAGAGAATTAAGCAGAGCAAGCACAAACCACCCTGCCAGCAAGTTTCTCACTGTATTTAAGGACACCTACCTTATCCAGCACCAGAGAGGGCCAACTAGACTCAGAGATGGCCAGCGCCCAACGCTGGACGACTTGGTAATGACAAACCGGCAGGACCTGGTAAACGAGATAACCACAGCCTCAGCACTTGGTAAAAGCGACCACGCCACACCTGTCTCTTATACACATCTAGATGTGTATAAGAGACAGCGTCCACGGCGCCTACGAAGCTGACCGCCCCCAGCTGCACCTTCACGACGGCAGAGATACCCGCGGGAACAGCCTGAAACTCGCCAAGGGCCGCTGCAGACTGAACGTCAGAGCCGGCTACTTCTCCTACAGAGTCGTGTCAATATGGAACAGCCTGCCGGACAGCGTCGTCACTGCCCCCTCTATTAACGCCTTCAAGATCAGGCTCGACAAGCACTGGGCAACACGCATAGAACAGTACGACCCCGAATGCTGTCATTAGCTCCCCTTTTGGCATTTCTAGACTAACTGCTAGCCACGCATGCGACAAGTAGTCAAGAAGCAACCCAACTAGGCCAAATAGTCAAGAAGCAACCCCCCAACCAGGCGTGGTGAACAGGCCGCAAGGCCTTTTACACTGAACTTATCAAGTATCAAGTAAGTTAAAGTTTGCTCAGTCTATCTGACTTCAAAATACCAAAATGTGTCTACCCGACTTGTCTCTGTCTGGGCTCAGTGGGCTGTAGCGCTGTACACTAACACGTTGACATTGCAGCAGGAACTTGAACTTGAAGTGCTCAATTGTATCCGTTGTGCTGCAGGTGATGCATTGATCAGTGTCGCTCATGTTGAACCTATGGAGGTGGCTTCTGAGTTCTGACACCAGCATGTCCTATTCTTAGTCGGGCTGCCTCCGGGCAGCTGCGCACTCCAGACTTCGAGACTTTAAGCAGACTGCAGAGCCAAGGATGGCAGGACGCAGTCTAGGTTCCTCCATGATGTCCAGAAAAAATCCTATCTGGGAGTAAGCAACAGAAGCCTTCCATGTTTTGGTCCAATGCTCATGTACGTAGTTTGTGTCTCAGGCCAGTCACCAGTGAGAGTCTCTTCAAAGCTTCCGGTGGATTGCTCGGAAGAGGTCGGTAGATTGCTTCCTATTCACTGCACGGCTCCGGCGCGCTCCGTCCGGGTGATTTAAAATTATTTCGCGTATTGGCAGACGATGCTGGGCCATACTACGTCAGGCTACTTTTCTGTTGGCTGATTAATCTAATTCAATCACTGGGACGCCTGCCGAAAACCACCCTGCAGTGACTGCTGTGCTTCGAATGGGCTAGGTATCAAATCAATATCATGAATCATGATACCTTCCCTCAAGAACGTAGCCTATAACATAACCCAACATCGTCTGCCAATCCGCGAAAAAAAATACTAAAAAATTTACACCACCCGTGTCCCGGAAGGAGCGCGCCAGAGCCTTGCACTGATTAAGATTCTCGCCACCTAAGGTTGACCCATCAGAAGCCCATTCTTGCGTATTAGTTCGTTGTTCGCCTGTGACGTCACCGATCCCAGCGAAGTCACGGGCATTAACCAATCACCGAAACGCGATCGAACCAGTCAACCAATCCGTCATAGGGATGACGGATTTGTTTATGTTTCTCAGTCTGCGTGACGTAACATGAAAACTGAACTGAAAGACGGAACTTCTCGTGGGTCAACCTTATATAGTTCAGCCATGCCCGCTACCGACCCGTCCGTATATGACTCGCCTATCGAATCAGCCTATACGGTCGAACGGCCGCTCGTCGCAGGACGATAAATTTTGGAACATGACTATGCTATCTCCCTATCTGAAACCTAACCCCGGATGCTGTGAGCTAAAAGTCTGGTGGTGCACGGCAGGCTTCATGCAGCTCCACTGGTAAGCTGGGCTGGTTGGTCGCAGTCTGAGGTCCGCTAGTTAAAGTTCGAGCTGAAGTCAGGGTATGAAGTGATGATTCGATGCAACGTTTAGTGGTGGACGATCTTTACACTCTGGGCTATTTGCTTCAGAATATGGTGGCGTAACGCTCCTAATATTCAAAGCAAGATGACATCATGGGCTGGTTACCGACGGATGACATGAATCGCGGCTGATTGGTGGTCATCTGGTAATATGCTAGGCGTTCCTTTCAGGGATGATTGGTGCACAAATTTGGTGGTGCACGGCTGCGTTCCCGAGTCGGCTATTTCGCTGGATGCAAACCATGGTTGAACTATATAAGGTTGACCCACGAGGATTTCCACCTTTCAGTTCAGCTTTCTTGTTCACTGAGATCGAGAAACGCAAACAATCCCGCCATTCCCATGACGGATTGGTTGAATAGTTTGATCGCATTTCAGTGAATGGTTAATGCCCATGACGTCACAGGAGAACAAAAAAACAACATCCACAAAAATTAGCTTCTCATGAGTCAACCTTGTACTATATCAATCATTGCTGCAAACATCAGGGATCGCAAGGCAAAGCAAAGTTAGAAAAAAATCTTTTAATTTATGATCATTAGTATATCGCATACTTGATGCCTGCTCTCATATATATCGGCATTTAAACACAGTTTCCATTGTTTTAATAGCCAATTTTTATCCCAGGAAAAATATGGTGACTTTTGCCACCTCCAGGCAAAGATGCATAGCCATTTTTATGCGACGTTTAGGTGGCATCTAAACTTCTGGTCTCCATATTACTAATAAAACATCAACGGTCTGAACTATCAATAATTCTATTCTACATGTATTAAAGAATTTCATGCACTTATACTTGTTATACTATTTTCGTAATTTATGTCAAGTCTAAGTTCAGATGAGACCAAAGGTTGATCAGATTTGTCTAATATGTACATAATTCTTCATTAATTAGATTAAAAATTCAGTCTTAATATACAGCACCATACGTATTATATCCATGAAAAACTTTCGTCAGCGGGCCTCTTTTCACATTGGTATTTTCTTATCGCAAGGAACTTCAGACAGATTTGAAGATAATGAAAGATTGATGCCTTATTAAGTTTATTGCACATCCTTTACTTGTTGCTGCTTCTGTTGTTCATGGTGATGCTTCGCAAAGGTTTCTCCCACAAGCAATGGGAAAACAAAAGAAGCTTCTCCATATACCTGCGCGAAGCGAAAGATTGAAATTCCTTCCATACTGTCACATTAATCATTAGATTAGCAAAAATTTCACAGCGTTCCTACTACAACCGTTCCATCAAGTCATACATTGTTAACTGTACCAAACATGGATCTTACTCTATTGATTGAATACCAGTCAATTTCGTTTGCTGGAAATTACCTTAAAAATAACAATGATGGGAGCAAATTTGTTCAAATGCAATGTGATGCAGTAAACGCCAGTCAATGCAATACCGATAGATCATCACAAAACAGAGCCGACGGAGATCATCCGTGTTGACCAGTAGTTTCTTCACTTTTTGATTTCACAAATAAATATGTCAATCATTTCATAAGTGTAGCCTAAATTGCTTTCTAAGGCTAAACATACGTTAAATTTTCTTCAGTCACTCCTCAATAACCCCGATAAAAAGCTTTGTCACACTAGAGGTGCTGGTGTAGACGCGGCTTACCTTGACAGGCCGCGCCTCAATGCGGATCTTGCCCCAGCTGACGGCCTCGTCAGGCCGAGCGCCGCTGTCGCTGCCGTCCCACTCGCTCGACGTGTTCACAAACACGGAGAAGTCTGCTCCGTTGCGCTGCAATTCAAATGCAATATTGTCAACCATTCAGATCCCAAAGTGCTGCTTGTGACAAAAGGAAAGTTGGTTGAAAAAATCTTATTTACCCGTAATTTTTTTCCGAGTAACGTGGCAAGTAAGTACATTACCTCGAAATTATTCAAAGAAAAATACAACTAAAAAGTTATAGGTGTACTCTCCTAGAGGATGCTGCTATTTCCATTGAAAAAAGCAAACTCTTTCGCCTATCACTCGGGGAGACGACACACTTCATATTTCATTATCGTCAAAGCATAAACACTGACTGGACAAATTTCACAAGAATGTTGAATTTGATCGAATTTGAAACTTTGACTTCAACTAGAAACCTGGGAAGGTTGGGATTTGTTTGAGACAGATTTATTTCCTCTTGTTTTGGTCTACTCATCACCGCCGGCAACACTATGCTATGCTAAAAGACGGCAGAAACACCCGATATAAAACAACCACTTTTTGTACCAAATATCGGCCGTATTGAAGCCATGTACCAGAGCAGAGTTAGGACAGTACCATGAGATTGGCGTTGCAGATGTGATGCTTCACTACGCCGCCACCAACGATCAGCATGCCCGTGTTGACCGATCGTTTCGCCAAGTCATTTATCCTCCGTAAATCTTCACAAAAAGTGAAGGAAAACTGTGTGAGGAGTGTATGGCTACATTGGAAATTGAAAATATCACACAAACTTACCTCTAGCTAAAATTAATGATGAAATGCACCAACAAAACCGCTGACCCTAATTAAAAACTATTCTACATATGGAAAACCTTCTGCCTGCGATTATATTTTAGATCAACTTTATGGTACCTCACGGGGCAACCCCAGGAGATATAAAGGCTTTTATGAAGACAGTGTCATAATTTATTCTTAATTTTTAAATATCTAGAGATAATATCGAGCACCAGACGAGATACATGGGTAGGATGCACTAATGAGATTCATGGGTAGGATGCACTAGTGAGATTCATGGGTGGGATGCACTAGTGAGGTTCATGGGTGGGATGCACTAGTGAGGTTCATGGGTGAGATGCACTAGTGAGGTTCATGGGTGAGATGCACTAGTAACATACCCGAGATAATATCAAGTATGAGGCCGGGTTTGGCAATCGAGTGGAAGTACATCATGTCTCCGATGCTGCCGTCAGTGAGCGCCGGTGAGAAGACAGGGATGTTGTTCTTGCAGGCCCAGTAGGCGATGCATGACTTGTCATTCATTTCCTTGCCCAGACGTGCAATGACGCGAGACGGAGACCAAACCGTGCCCTGTAATAGGTACATTTGCTCGAAAAAATAGGCGAAATGTCTACAAACAAACAGCTACTGCAATCACTATAATATGCGATGCTATTTCACTTTAGAATCACTCTACTGCAATCACAAGATAGTAACAGTCCACATACAGAAAAAGAAACATAAATATCTCTTCTTACCAATTCCTTCTGTTCCCTTAGCATCTGGTCCAAGTGCGGCATGATCCAGTCCTCGAATTTGCAATAGTTGTCATTGGGTACCAGCAGGTTTCCTGGAAACATAAACGGCTGTGTACATCGACTTATAATTATTATAGGTACTCGTTATAATGAAAACAGAGTAACAAGGCATAAAACGTGCATGCACAATACAGTAATACACGGACAATGAGACCCATTGTAGGAACAATGGTTCGAATGTTTAAAAATGATATCCATAAATCAATAGAATCATCGACCTGGCAGAAAGTACCTATAAAAAATTTAAAAGTAATGGACAAAAATAATAGCATACTACCAGTTATATTTAAAAAAATATAACTCAGTACTCACGGCAGTGAGTGACAGAGAGCGCATTTTCTCGTGCATAAATCAGTTTTCATTGCAATCAGTACAGTGCATTAGAGCTAGAGATGTCGTATCTTTGATACAGGCATGCCCGCTCCTTAAAATCGACGAAAACGTGAAGTCACGGGCGGGCGGACGGACAGACAGACAGACGGACATGGCGAGCACAATAGTGCATTTTTTCTATAAAGAAAAAATGCGCTAAAAAGGCTAGCAACTTCAAATATCACAATCTATACATAAAAAGCTTTAATGGCTTCCAAATTGCAACATAATTTGAGTAAATTTCCCTGAATTGCAATAAAATTTGCAAGCTGCTCATGTTATTTACTTCTATCTTTATTTCACGAGGATACCTACTAGTGAAAAATTAAAGTAGATAGTGCGATCGCACCTATTCTATTAATGCCTTGTTTCCTGAGGTCAGCCCCCTTGAGGTGCCAGTCGCCAATAAAAGTGGGAGCGAGACACTTGATGAGATCCTCCTCTATGCCACCCGCCGTGGACACAATGCAGTCAATCAGGCGATGCTCAGCAAGAAACCTGGAAAATAAATTAATAAATTACCGATCTCAGATAGGAGAGCAGGTGCTTGGAAAACTAAAGTATTTCAAATGTAATAATAAATAAATTATACAACAGTGTTATCAAATCTGTAGTCATCTTTATAGAATGAAGATGGAACACGTACCGAATAGTTTCCCTGACACCACAGGATGACATGTTAGAGGTGTAGCCAAGAAATATTGTGCAGTTGTTTCGTATCTCCAGGCAAGGTTCAACGTCTATGCTTTGGCAGAAGTCACTGGGCAGGGGCTTCATGCGACAATCTAGCTAGGGAAGAAACAATTGCCAATCATAAGCTGTTTAACGATGACATTAAAACAATACTTGTGATAATAATGAAACTTGATAGTCCTGATGAAATTGTGCTGAGAATCCAAGAAGAAAGTAGAACATTGAATCAAGCATTAATAATTTTCTAGCAAAATAGCAACAAAATAAAGCAGGACCTACGGTATGTCTAGATAAACATCTTTTCTTATTTCAGAGCTTTGACTACATAACATCATAAAGTCATTCATGAAACATGACCATCCTGTCACACTATCCTTAATATGATTTACAACTAACATTTTTTGCCCACTAATTTTTCTCACTTGCGTCAGATAAGACATTAAATCTTGAAATTGAGATACAACAGTAAATTTATTAAATGAATAAAATACTGAACCCAATTTTGACACACCCAATTTATGATGGAGTAGTACCTAGTAGTGGTAGTAAGTACTGGTACCTGACAAAAATGGATGAATTTACCTCATAAAGTCATAAAAGCCAAAAACTAGCTGATACTATTCAAAATATGGTACCTAAATATAAAAGAAAATCAATTGTAAAATTATATAATATTATCAGGCCCCCAATTTTAATAAGATACATACTGCTGCTTTGGTGATATGAAAAATGTGCAAAAATATTAATTTTGGTGTCTGCTAATCTACATATATTCAAGGGCCTTCTCTCAAGTCTATAGCATGATGATGTTATGATAGGCAGATGTTTGGCAATTGGTGGAGGAAAGATACCATAGCAACCGAGGAGAGATGTAGGTACCTACTTCTGATGGCTTCAAAACAATCCAAGTTAAATCATTACACTCATTAAAAACATCAACTGGTGGATGCGAGGGCCATTTTGGGCAGAGATTCTAGGTTTCCATGAATGACCCTTGGACCAGAAAGGTTAGCAAAATGTTTTACACCATTTAAGAATAGGGAATTTGGGTAAGACTAATGAATGAGAAAATACAAGTATAATAAAAGAGGTTAGCAACTCACCATTCTTTTTACTTCTTGAACAGCTAATCCAAAGCTAGTAGCTTGAAATCCAGAGAAATGATAAGATGCCAGAAGCTTGTGGTAATCAATGCCCTGGTTGAAATCATAACCTGAAAATACAAATAATTATAATATTATGCAGCAAATTCAGACATAAATATTTGGAGCTACTGGTTTTAAACCTTATTCATGACACTTATACTTAAACCATTAGAATGTCAGAATTAATTATATAGTATTTGCTTGGAGTAAGTGGGATATTTGATAATGAAACTGGAGGGAGAGAAGTAATAGTGAATAATTGAAGATCAGTGCAAAATGCCTACATTGTAATATTGTGACTTTAGCCTCTGAATACAAGATCATTATCAACAGGACCTGTGAAGGAGGTAAAAATGCCAAAAAATGTACTAGCTTAACATCAGAGGAAACTTCTTTTCACACAGAATAATGAACTTATAGAACAACCTGCCTGAGATTTTGGTCTCTGTTACATCTGTCTTTCAATAGCCAAATTTACTATCACTTTATAAGCCAATATGCCATAATTAACATTTATAAATAGATTCTTTACACAATTTAACAATCCATTACCCCCTGCAGGTGCAGGATATCAAAGTTACATTCACGACTGTGGAGAGGTAAACAGGCTTTTGGAGAGGTCTCAATCATATAATAAGTTCAAGTAATTTTACCAGGACCTGAGGTAAGATGATTGGTGTCCAAAGAGGCAACACTATAACTATTGCTCATACAAATCAACAGCTCTGCTTAGAGGTATGAAGGGGAGAACTAATTAGGATGAATATTATTACCTTGAACTATAGGGGTTTCAGCTGGCAATGTTGTAGATGGCATGAAGACAGCATCTCTGGCTATGTCTCCATCCAGACTTTCAATGCCACCATTTCCTGAATTCTTATTCATACCATCACTATCTCTTTTCATTGCAGAAGAAGAATTGGCAATGGTTGAAGTCTCTGCACTTGCCATGACTGAAATTAAGTATTGTTACTGAAGAGGGAGACAAAAGAAATGCATGTAATGACCATAAAATATTTTTTAAAGTTAGTCAATCTAATTTGCTTTTCAGCTACTAGGTAGGAAGCTAAAAGCTTACCTGCCAGGCTGCCAAACACAACAAATGTCAAGATAGCTACCTAACGCCACATCAATCTCACTTGAAACTCTACAACAATTATACAGCCAGGCTTCCTTACCAGCAATTTTTTAAAACAGAACTGAACCACAAATTTCTAACAAGAACAGCTTTGCAAGGTTGCACTAGTTCTTACAATACATGGTAATGTAACCCTACAAAATGCATTTACATTATTATGCTTCATAAAGAAGCAAGAAGTCAAGTGCAGTAATTTGCTATGTGGTGACTTGTATGTCATCACTCATTTGAGCTGAGGCTGAGCAACTTACACAATAATGAGAATAAACGATTATTGTATAATTGTGGAAGCATTAAAGCTTCTTTAAGAAGCAAAAGATTCAAAATTTTAAATTTATTAGTAATATCAAATGAACAAGGTCTGCAGTCTGCACAAATTTACAAATCAACTATTCAACTGACAAGTAAGATTTGCAATAGGCTAGGAGAGATAAAAAGTTAAAATAGGAAAAAAAACTTAAATAAGCAATGACAAATGGAAGAGCACAGGCCTGACAGGCTGACTGACACCAGGTTGAGCCACTTGAGTGGTTGACCGTTTATGCCATGGTACATAGTTGGTACTCGGTAGGTGAACTCAATTTCCTGTGACTGCTGATGAGCTGAAATAATATATACATGCAATTAAACATTAATTCCATGTATTGATGTTTCAATAATTATTAATGAAACATGAATAAATTTATTAATTGTCACTGTTTCATTAATTAATGAAATAGCACAAATATGTAAAGTAGCTAGGTAATAATAGGTATCATGCAGAGGTGGGCAGTAGCGCGCTACATTTTCAGTAGCGGTAGCGGCTCTTCTTTTTTAGCGGTAGAGCCCCAATTTTTTATTTTCCTCATTGTTTTTTTCGCATTCTTCCCATTTTTTCACATTTTTACCCCCCACCTTCCTCCCCCTCCCATATATAAGTCAAACCATGCACATATTAAAAAAAGGCTTCTTGAGTTGCTAGGTATTGTTTTTACAAATCGAATGGTATGTCTCTCATTGCCGTAGCTTGAAAACTGTTGGAGTTATAATTTTTTTAAGATGGCGTTTTTTCATGGTTGAACTAGTATAAGTGTTGTGTGTTGTGTACGGCTTGAAGGTGAAGAAGTAGTCGGAAGATAACCACTCGTTACACCTGGACTCAGCAGAAAGTTTCAGCGTCAGGTGTCAATGATCCTTGAAGGATCTATTAGCTGGTCTTCCAGATTTGATCACAGGTAAATCCAGGGTGGTGCTCATGCACTACAGGGAAGTCAGACAATTTGTTTGCGTTAAATAGGTGATTGTTGCTCTTATAATTGCATGTTGAATCTTTCTGCGGTAGTTGTATTCGTACAGTTAGATGGTGCACACCCATGGCTCGAGTAGTAGTGATAAGTAACTGACGCTCCAGGCGGTACCGCAGGCATGCCAGGAGAAAATGCTCCATGGTATCATCCACCCCACAAAGCAAGCACATGGGAGTGTCTGCCATGCCAAATCGATGGAGGTATGACCGAACACCAACATGACCCAATCGAAGACGAGTAAGCACCACAGCAGCATGACGAGAACAACTGGCAACCCACGGAACAGGAGACAAATCAGTCCGCACAGAAGCGAGATGATGTCCCTTCCCTTCAACAGCCAAAGCAGCAATCCAGTCCAGTTCCCAAGACTTGAGAAAACAAGAATGAAGTAAAGCAAGTGTGTCAGAACAAGAGAGACGAAACAATGCAGAATGGTCAAGAGTATGACCCATCATTGCAACAGCATCAGCTCGCTCATTCCCAACAATGCCAGCATGGGCCTTGACCCACTGTAGGCGCACTGTTTTCCTCTCATTCAGGCCAAGGAGCAGCTGACGAATTTGATATACAAGATCGCAAGATGTGTCCGTTGGGGAGTGTATGAGTTGCAAGGCCACAAGTGAGTCAGAAAAAATAACCCAGGATAGGGATGCTTCACTTACAATGAGTTTCAAAGCATGTAATATAGCAATCAATTCAGCTGACAGGATGCCGTGTCTGGTATTAAGCCTCCATGCAACTGCTCTTGCTTGTGCCGGTATGTATAAACCACATGCTGTAGATGGATTGTCTCAATCACGACCCATCACAGTAGATTGCCATGTACCCAGGATAATATTCCCTAACATGAGCAGAAAACACAGTTGAGTCAGTTAAACCAGAGACAAAGCGGAAATCGAGACAAATGAGATGATCTACACAAATCCAAGGGGGAACAGGATCAAAAGCGACAAGGGCTGGCGGTAACAAAACCGGAGCCCCAGGTCAGCAAGCTGTTGAGGGCCTCGACTGAGCACAGATGCAGCGCCACCACATGCAGCTGCTTTGGTATGATCCCCAGCTGGATGATACTGCAGCATTATATATGTACTGGCAGTTAAGTATTGCCACCTCAGGGCCAGTGGGGGAATATGAGCCTCAACTCCATGTGAAATTACTGGTGTAGTACGTGTTAGAGTAAACGTATCATCTATCTGCAACATGTACTGCGAGTTGTCGGATTCTAGCGTAACCTTTATGTCTCTTGCCTTATTTCCCTGTAAGAGGAAGCACCCGCTTCTCCTATCGCTCTCTAGCTTCTGGTCTTCGGCTCGAGCAGGATGTTCTCTCTTTCGGTGTTGATGTAAACCTTAGCAGAAGACTTAGCTTTGATTCAACCCCACAACCGTAAGACTATCATGGCATCACACAGTGAAAACTCAACAGGTTATGGCCCTTTTAACATCATACCAGCGAACTTGATATTCGATGGTAATGACGACAACTATGAGTTGTGGGAAATTAAATTCCTAGCCCACCTTACGCTAAAAGGTTTTGATGAGGCATTGGAACGGGATGGAAATGAAAGCAACACTAATGAGTCCGCCACGAGCTCAGGAGCCAACAGTGGGGACAAAATGAACAATAAAATCTTTGCAGAATTAACGCAGAGACTGGATGAGAAGAGCCATTCACTTATTTGCCGTGAAGCTAAGGATGATGGATGGAAAAGCCTTAAAATACTAAGTGAACATTACATGGGGAAGACATACCCTAGAATTATAGAGAACTATAATCGACTGGTAACGCTGAAGAAAGAAGAGAACGAGTCAGTGATTGACTATATCATCAAAGCTGAGAAAGCTGCTTCAGCACTCCAGAATGCTGGTGAGACAGTTTCTGATGGCCTCCTTGTGTCCCTGGCCCTTAGAGGATTACCACCAAGCTATATTTCCTTTAAATCTGTCATTTACCAGAGTAAAGAACCTGTCCCTTTCAATCAATTCAAACAGTCATTGAAATCTTTTGAAGAAAATACACGGGAGGAATGCAAAGATGATAAAATCTTTGCAACATCAGACAAGAAAACAAACTCAAACCTGATGTGCTACAGTTGCGGAGAAAATGGCCACCAACAATTTCAGTGCAGAAGAAAAGAAAATACATGGTGCAACTTCTGCAAGATGAACAACCATGATGTCAAAGAATGTTGGAAACTAAGGAAAATGTATGGTGCCCCTAGTACATGGATAGATGAAGATGCCACTGTTTCCACAGCAACAGATGGACATTTTGCAATGAAAGTAAGTCTCAGTGATGTGAATTTAGTTAATAAGTGTACTGAAGGCAAAACCATGTTGTTGGTAGACACAGGAGCTACATCCCACATAATTACAGATAGGAACAAATTTTTATCAATTGATCCCAATTTTGATGCATCTAATCACTACATTGAGCTTGCTGATGGGAGCAGAAGTAGAATTGTAACTTGCAAAGGTGATGCCAGTGTGACACTAACAGACTCGTCTGGAACTGACAGGAATATCTTGCTCAAAAATGCTCTCTGTGTTCCATCTTTCAAACAAGATATATTTAGTGTCCATGCTGCAACTCAGCAAGGAGTGCGAGTAAAATTCAGCCAGCATAGTTCCAGTCTCTCTAAGGATGGAATTACTTTTGACATCTGTAAAAAGGGAAAATTGTACTATGTCAATAAATCTGCTGCCAGTGATGTTGTGAGTAGATCTTTGCAAGAATGGCATGCAGTATTAGGCCATTGCAACATAAATGACGTGAAAAAACTACCGGAGGTGGTTAACGGCATGAACATTGATAGTAGAAAGGATTTTGACTGTGATGTATGCATCAAAGGCAAGTTTAGTCAGTATAGAAACAGGCTTCCGGACACTAAAGCAAAACACACTCTAGACTTAGTTCATTGTGATATTGCAGGTCCTATTGATCCCATTGCCCGAGATAATTTTAAGTATGCCATAAATTTTGTTGATGACAAGTCTGGATATATTTTTGTGTATTTACTTAGGAATAAGAGTGATGCAGTGATAGCATTGAAACGTTTCTTGGCTGATACAGCACCCTATGGC